CTTGGTCAAATTTTTCTTTTTCTTCATTTTGTTTGTCTCTTTTTTCTTTCTTTCTTTCTTTTTTTTTTTTCTTAAAAAAGAAAGGTTTTTGCCATAGGACGTGTGCACTTGCCAAAGACAATGAGAAGGAAAGTGAGAAATCACCCTCCAGGGTGGGTGACCACGTTGTCATCCCTTCTACTCCGTTTTCCTCCTGATATTTTGGGCATGCATGCACATGTGCCCAGCGTGATTTTCAAGCCTCTGGGTCCAGGACTCGAACCATGATTACCCATGTGGAAGTCAAGCACCTTAACCACCATACCAGCTGCTGCCCTCATTCCTTTTTTATTTTTTTAAGTTCATTTTATTTAGAGAAAGAGGAGTGTGAAACAGACATTCCTGACAGGGTTGCGTCATGCTGTAATCCCCCTCCGGCCCTCCAACCAGCCAGGACCATGTATAGGCACTTATGTTCAGCGTGTTTGAGGTTGACCCAGGATCTGAACCACAGTCTTCCATGTGGCTCCAGATTGCAGTGCAGAGCCCCAACCCTTGTGCCACACAGCTAGAGCTTGGGCAAGTTTCTTAACCTCTAGCATCAGTTTCGATGATTCTTCGTGTCTCAGAACTGTTGGGGGGATTGAAATAAGATACCGCAGTGCAGCACCAGCACAGAGCCTGGCTTAAAACTGGAAGCCACTTTTGACAAACCCTGAGCTTCTCCAAGGTAGGATATTTTCGGACTCTCCTGGGGACTTAATGTTGCGTGCTATGGAATATTCCTTGGAGCCTTGCATCCTATACAACACGAAGTAACTGACCGTAATTGTATAATCGTTCCTGACTCGTATTCTGACCATTAGGCCTTTGCTCTGGGGAGCTTCCAACTCAAGCAATAAGCTGACCTAAAAAGCAAGGGGGCAGGGGGACTATCAGATGGCTTAATGGTTACGTCACTGGACTTCCACTGTGGTTCAAGTCCCAGAACCGGCGAATTAAAACTTACGCCAGGCACATGTGCGTGTGTGCTCAAAATCCTGAGAGAATGGAGTGGAGGGGATTGTGGTGTGGCCATCCCCCCCCCGGGGGGGGTAATTTCTCCCTTTCTGTCTCTGTCTCTCCAGTGAGCACACATGCCCTATAGCAAAAGTCTCTAAAAAAATTAAAAATCAAATTAGAAAATTAACAATGAGGGAGAAAGACAGGAGAAACAGGAAAGCCAGCTTGGCAGTAGGGAGCTGGGTGGGAGGGATTTGAGTCAGAGGAAGGAGGAGATTTGGATTGATGCTGGAGGAAGCAGTTTTGGGTCCCGGATGGCGGGCGGCCAGTGATAACCCAGTGCTCTGTAATGCTTGAACCCCGTGGGAAGGTACTGGGCTCTGGTACTGAGGTCTCCCCGTGCATGACCGGTGCATGTGTGCATACGTTCCTGTGATCCAGGCTGGCTGAGGCTGGGGGTGGGTTGCAGCATGGAGATCTCGTTGGGAGTGTCTCTCTTTCTTCCTCTTTTTCTCATGAAAGAAATAAAAATAAACTTTTAAAAAGTTGTGGGTGGGGCCAACAGGTGTCATAGTGTTAAGGCATTGGATGCCCACATGGCCAACTGCAGTCTGAGTCCTGGACCCAGTGCCTTGAGACTCATGCCAGATGCATGTGCCCCAAATCCCAAGAAGAGAATGGAGAAGGATTGCAGCGTGGCCAACCGCCCCCCCCAGGGGTGATGTCTCTCTGTCTCTCTGTCTCTCTGGGGAGTGCACACGTCCTATAGCAAAAATATCACCACCACCCCCAAGCACAGTTTTAAGCTGGGGCCAGCAGGTGGCATGGTGGTTAAAGTGATGGAGTCCCACGTGGCCAACCATAGTTCATGTCCCAGACCCAGTAGTTTGATAAATCACAAGTAAGAATAGAGAAATAAATAAATGTTAAAAAAATATATAAAGTTTTTGGTCAAGAGAGATGTTCAAAGAAATTTAAAGCAATGTTTGATAGTGCGTACCCATGTGCACACATGTGAGAGAAAGTGCCTTAGACAGTTTCGTCATGCCAGACCCCTTCCCCAGCCCTCCAGCTCACTAGGGTACGGGGTGCCCACCTGTGTCTGGTGTTTGTGGGCTGCTGCCCGGAGTCTGGCCACTGCTGGCTCATGACTTCCAGTGCTGCCCTCTAGCATGCTAGGGACTGAGCCACCTGGCAGGGCCATTCAAAGGAAGTTTTTCTCTCTTTTTCTCTCTTTCTTTCTTCCTTTCTCTTCCTTAGGTTTTCTGCCATAGAGCACATGCACTTGCTGGATTCTCTCTCTGTCTCTCACAGAGACAGCAAGAGGAAAAATGAGAAATCACCCTCTAGGGAGAATGGCCACACTGCAGCGTGAGTTTCAAGCCATCGGGTCTGAGACTCAAACCACAGTCAGCCATGTGGGAATCCAGCACTTTAACTGCCACGCCACCTGCTGGCCCCTCAAAGGAATTTTTAGATGTTTTTGCTGGAGGGTGCATGTGCTTACCAGAGACAGAGGCAGTGAGGGGGAAAGTGAAAACTTGGCCCCGCCTCAGATGGATGGCCACACTGCAATCCCTTCTCCTCCATTCTCCTCTTGTGATCTCGGACACACACGCCCATGCACGTGGCATGATTTGAACCACGGTCACCCATGTGGGAGTCCAGGGCTTTAACCACTATGTCATCTGCTGGCCCCTTAAAGGAACTCGTAAAGGCAGTTTGGCTGTGTGGTGGGCTAGTCCTCTCCTACTGTATCCCCAGGAAATCTTCAGGAAAGGGCTGCACTACTCTTCAGTCCTTTGAAGTGGGGTTTGTGCCTTAAAAATGTGTCTGGATACCAAGTGACCGAGCTGTAGGGGGCCGTGCTCCTCAGCTTTTGTCCAAAGGCCTTGATCCTTTCCGCTTCCCTAAGTCGGATTAGTCCCTTCACACTAACCTCCTGCCAGGGCTGTAGAGCGGGGAGAGGAACTGAATGGTGGGAGGATGCCTGGTAACCACCAGCTCCCCGGGGGGCACACCTCCATCCCTCCATCCGGGACTTCTTTCTGGGTTTATTCAAGAGAAGAACCTGAGGGCGATAAGACACCCAGGCCTGGAGACGCCTTGGCACGGCCAAGCCTTTCCATTTTGCAGCGGGATGGTCTCTTGGTACTCATCCCCTAGCTGGTGTCGTCTGTACTGCCCCCCAAGCTAGAAACCTGGGAACCTCACAGCCCAGAACTTCGGCCAGCAGAACCAGAAGGGATGCGGAAGCCTTTACTCCCACGCCAAGACAGGCAGGCGTGTGGGAGGCGTCTTGAGCGGGACAGGGTGTCTGCGGTGGTCTCCAGCCGTTCTCCATGACCTTCTGACGCTGCAGATGGACCTGGGGCTGTCTGCAGGTCCTAGCTTGAAGCCTGCCTGGTGCTGGTTTTATTGGGGCGGGCTGGGCTTCGGGGTCTGAGGCAGCGTCTGGTACTTACTTCTCCCAGGCAGGGGTGAGTCTGCCCTGTGCAGGCTGAGGGGTGGGGGAGGTGACACAAGTACTGTAACACGGTCCCTTTTCCAATATGTCTTATTTTATGCGCGACCCAGGTCCAGGTCCTCTGCACGCCCTCCTGGGTTCCTTGGCTCTTACCAAGGTGTTTTCTCGTATGCAGAGTTGCACACACTGATGGTCCTGCAGGGGATCCTTGCTGGGAAGTCTGATTCCGCCACCCTGCTGACATTCTGTCTTCACATGCAGTGTATGAACGCAGTCCTTCCAACCAGGGTGGGCAGCGTTACCACCTTTCCTTTAGACGGGAAGCTGACGGACAGGCCAGGCCGGGTACCGCGGTCACAAAGCTGTCAGGTGTCTGAAGCCAGTCTGGCTCTGGCTGCAGGTCTCAGCCGCGGACCCTACAGGCCCAAGTTCACACTCACAACCCACCAGGAACTTTGTATATGACCTGGACAAGGCAAAATGTCTTCGGGCCCTTCTCCTTGTCCATAAAATGAAAGTAGGCCTGGATCACCTGTAAGTTTATCTCCCACAGCCCACCTGTTCAACCATGTTTTCTGCTGAACGTCCACAACCACCTTGCTGTCCACTCTGACCTCACCCCTCCTCTGCACTCCTCCCTTTTCTTGGCCCCTCCCCTGCCCGAGATGCTGTGTACCTCATCAACCCCTGGTGGGTCATTCCACATCTGTAACACTGGGAAGATAACTGTCCTTAGAGATTTAGGTTTGAGAGTTCCAGATCTTCTTCTGTCTCACTAGGATTTCTTTTTTCCAAGAGAGATTTTTGCTATAGGGTACATGCACTCGCCAGAGAGCTAGAAAGTGAGAAATTACTCCCCAGGGGCATGGCCATACTGCAATCCCTTCTCCATTCTCATCGGGATCTTGGGCACACATGCACATGTGCCCAGTGTGAGGTTTTTAAGCCACTGGATCCAGGACTCAAAACTGAGGTTGACCACATGGGGAGTCCAGCGACATAACCATTACATCATCTGCTGGTCCTTCATTAGGATTTTACAGCCCAAGATGGCTTTCTTTTTTCCCTTTTTTTATTTTTGGAGAGATTTTCACTGTAGGGCGCGTGCGCTCGCCAGACAGACAGAGAGAGACATAGAGACAGAAAGCGAGAAATCACCCCCCAGGGGGGATGGTCACGCTGCAATCCCTTCTCCTCCATTCTCCTCTTGGGATCTTGGGCACGCACGCACACGCGCCCGGCATGAGTTTCAAGCCACCAGGTCCGGGACACGAACCGCGGTCGACTACGTGGGAACCCAGCGACGTAGCCATTACGCTAACTGCTGGTTCCCAACCCAAGATGGCTTTCAATGAAGAGGTGATCACTTGCAGGAGAGATCTCGTTAGAGTACACAGAATCCTGTAAAAGTTACTGGACAACAGGACTTTTTGACCCATTTCTTCAACTAATTTAAGAGTCTTTGGAATCTGGATGTCACTGAATTATCAAGGTATCCCAAAGTCTGAGAAAAATGTTGAGGTTCAATATGGAAGGAAATCAAGAAACATACTCATGGCCATTAGAAATGCCTTTATTTATAAAATAACTACTATATTCAAATATAAACATCTCTAAATAGAAACACTGCACAAGAGACTCTCGCAGCAATCCCTGCCTTCTGATCAGGATCAGCATAGGCACTGCAGGTCCAGGGTCCCGGTGTCTCCCCGAGTCACCAGGATTTTAAGGCCAAATGTGGACTTAGAGGAGAAGGGGCTATATCTGTTCTTTTTATTTGTTTTTCTTTAATTCTGCTATAGGGCATGTGCATTCATTGAAGAGAAAGTGAGCGGGCACCCCACGTGAGGAATGGTCACGCCACAATCCCTTCTCCATTGCTCGCTCAAGATTTTGGGCATGCACACACGTGTACCCGGCTTGTTTCTCAAGCCACTGGGCCCAGGACTCAGTCACAGTGGGATCCAGTTGCCTTAACCGCCATGCTCTTGGTGGCCCAAGGCTGGTCTTACTCCCTTTCTTAAAGGACAGAATTCATAGTTCCCTCTTCTAAGATAGGCTGTGTATCTGGGGACCTTCTAGAAAGCACTTTTGGGGGAAAGTCTAGGGAGGGGTTAACAAATATCTTCCTGAGGCTGGTGGGAGGTGCTGTCAGGCACTTTCGAGTCTGGCTTTGAATACTGCTCCTGAAGCAGGGAGGCTGGCAGTAAGGAGAGCTTATTTGGAAGTCCAAGGTCAGCTACTTCGGAGACTGTTTATCCTAATTCCTAAGTCACGTGTGTGGTGTTCACGCACCCGCAGGTGTAACTGGCCTCCCACCAGCCTCCACTGCTTCCAGCTCATGGCAGAACTGACACTTTCTGGGAGTGGCTGGGGCGCTGGTCCTGTTATTTCAGGAAAAGTATCAGGTAGTGAGTCCAGGCAGTGACCGGAGACACCACGCAGATTGCAGACAGTGGCGATGACTGTCAGAAAGGTGTAGGTGACTGCACCCAACAGGGGAAGAGAACCTTTCAGAAGAAAGGTCAAAGAAAAATAAAGAGCCTAAGTGCTTCTTAAAAGAAGCCAGCCGTTGAGTTTTGTTTCCCAGTCCGGAGTGAAGTGAAATAAGGAAGATTACAGGTGGCAGTATTTCAGGGGCTTCAGAAATTAAGTAGTGTGTGTGTGAGGGAGACTGCGTGCTGCCATGGGAGATGTCTCAGAAGCCCTAAAACACTAGGTTTGGTACAGTCCCGGCAACTTCCTGGCTGCGGGCAGAAGCGCAGCCGGTTGTGGCTCCCAGAGCTCTACTGCCTTTGTCCGAGCCGGTTTCCGGTGAGCAGATCCTGGCGCATTGGGTATCGAACTCGGTATGGCACGACCAACGTCCACGTGCTATAATGCTACCGCACAGCTTCCTGCACACACAGGCACCATCTCCGGACCTGACAGTTCCCATTTCCAAAGGCTGCCCTGGGGCTTGCCTCTCTTCTCATGGGCACCGAATCGTAAACTCCAGGGTCCGTTTCAAAATCTAGGAATTCTAGCGAGCATCAAGGTCTACAACCCAACCGAGGAGGACGAGCGTGAGCTCGAGCTCCGCCATGCCGTGGCTAAGCAATGCGGACGGGCCTGTGCTGGGCGGGCCCCTCCTGGGCCACCGGGTCCTTCAGCAGACAGAGCGCAGGCGGGACGCTGCGGGGCGGCTCAGGTGTACTCCGCCTTGCGGATATAATTGGATGGCACGTAGCCCTTCCTCCCGTTGGCCTCGGCCAACCACCACTCGGCAT